CCTCTATTCTGAAAACTGTAAAACACTGATGAAAGAAATGCCAGACAACTCAAAGAAATGAAAAAACATTCCATGCTCACGAGTTAGAAAAGCAAATATTGTTAAAATGTCTATACTACTCAAAGCAACCTACAAGCTTAATGCAATCCCTATCAAAATACCAAAAGTATTTTTCATGGAACTAGAACAAACAATCTTTAAATGTGTATGGAACCACAAAAGACCTTGAATAGCCAAAGCAATCTTGAAAAAGAAAAAACTGGAGGTATCAAAATCTCAGACTTCAAGTTATATTGCAAAGTGGTAGTATTTAAAACAGTATGGTACTAGCATAAAAATAGACACACAGATAAATGGAATAGAACAGAAAACCCAGAAATAAACCCACGATTATATGGTCAATTAATCTTTGACAAAGGAGGAAAGAGTCATCTAATAGGAAAAAGACAGTTCCTTCAACAAATGATGTTGGGAAAATTGGACAGCCACATGCAAAAGAACAAAACTGGGGCACTTTCTTTCACCATACACAAAAATAAACCAAAATGGATCAAAGACCAAAATGTGAGACCTGAAACCACAAAAATCCTAAAAGAGAGCACAGGTAGTAATTTCTCTGACATTGGCCACAGCAACATTTTACTAGATAATGTCTCCTGAGGCAAGGGAGATAAAACCAAAAGTAAACTATTGGGACTACATCAAAATAAAAAAGTTCTGCACAGTAAAGGAACAACCAACAAAACTAAAAGGCAACATACTAAATGGGAGAAGATACTTGCAAATGACATATCCAATAAAGGGTTAGTATCCAAAATATATAAAGAACTGATACAACTTAATACCCCAAAAACAAATAATCCAATTAAAAATTGCAGAAGACACAAATACATATTTCTCCAAAAAAGACATTCAGATGGTCAACAGACACATGATAAGATGCTCAACATTGCTCATCATCAGAGAAATGCAAATCAAAACTACAATAAGATATTGCCTCACACCTATCAGAAAGCCTAAAATCGAAAACACAAGAAACAAGTGTTGGTGAGGATGCAGAGAAAGGGGAACCCTCTTGCATTATTTGTGGGAATGCAAACTGGTGCAGCCATTGTGAAAAACAGTATGGAGTTTCCTCAAGAAATTAAACATAGAACTACTCTACAATCCAGGAATCACACTACTGGGTATTTACCCAAAAAATACAAAAACACTAATTCAAAAGGACACATTCACCTTTATGTTTACTGCAGCCTTATTTACAATAGCCAAACTAAGGAAGCAGCCTAAATGTCCATCAATAGATGAATGGATAAAGAAGAAGTGGTATGTATTCACAATGGAATATTACTCAGCCATAAAAAGAGAATGAAACCTTGCCATTTGCAACAACATGGATGGAGCTAGTGTATAATGCTAAAGCAAAATAAGTCAGAGAAAGACAAATACCACATGATCTCACTCATATGTGGAATTTAAGAAACAAAACAAAGGAGCAGGGGAAAAAAAGAAAAAAGAGAGACAACCAAGAAACAGACCCTTAACTACAGAGAACAAGTTGATGGGTTACCAGAGGGGAGGTGGGTTGGGGGATGGGGGAAGTAGGGGAGGAGGATTAAAGAGTATACTCATCATGATTAAAAAAAATAAATAAAATGAAAAAAATTGGGATTTAAAAACTGAGTAGGAGCTATGAATATAAGCGGTCAGATGGCCTTTGTGTCTAAGTATCTTCATGTTCTACAGGACAAATGGGATAATAACATTGGGGTTCTCAGCATCAGTGTATCTATTTTCACTTAAACTATTTTTGGAATGGTACTCTGGTACCTGTTACTTCAAGTTAGTCTGATGTCCCCAGACTACAAGTTTTCTATTTTTAGCCTTTCTAGAGACTAAATACAGTCTTTTGCTTACATGGGAAGGGGTAGTCACTATAAAGTGTGGGAAGGAGCTTCCTGGTTAGTAATGACCTCCCCACGAGAATATGCCCCTTACGAAGGACCACTTCCACCCACCCCAGAAGAGGACAAGGGGAAGCACAAGAAGTGCGTGGTGCAGAGCCTCAACGCCTACTTCATGGACGTGAAGCTCCCAGGATGCTACAACATCACCAGTTTTTAGCCACACAAAAAGGCTAGTTCTGTGTGTTGGCTGCTCCCCTGTCCTCTGCCAGCCCACAGGAGGAAAAGCAAGGCTTACAGAAAGATGCTCCTTCAGATGGAAGCAGCACTAAAATCACCCTGAATCAGATGAGTGGGAAACTCTCAATAAACACATTTTGGATAAAATAAATTGAAATGAAATGAAATAAAAGTATGGAAAGGGAATGAGATTTTATTACCACCAAACTCTGACTGAAGATTCCAAAAAGCAAACTGGTTACTTCTTGGCTTTCTAATCCAGGATTTACACATCAAAGTTTTGCTAAATTAGTTACTGCTTGTCTTTCTTCCCAGGTCCTAAAATATTTTTGTGTCATCTCCTCTCCCTTTTTTCTTTTCCCCTTTCCTTGTAGATTTAAACCTTTAAAAAAGTATCCCTTTACTGTAGTTTTAGTTTCCAGAAAGAAGTGAAACTAAGTACAATTCTTTATTCTAACACCTCTACTCCCTAAATCCTAATATTTAAACAGAAAATTTTCTTTATAAAAGATTTTGGAGCCAAATAAAAAGGAAGTCCTACAAACTAGGACTCAAAGAGAACAAAAAGACACAGCTGCATTTTCCTTTTTGTCCCCAATTCTGTAATAGATTGCAGAATTAAATTATTTTATATTTTATTTTTATTTTATATTATATTTATTTATTTTATATTTTGTCTTTATCATCTATCTTTTGTGAGAAAAACCACAAAAATTTCTGCTGCTTAACATTTTTATTAATAAACTTGACTAAAAGTAACTCTAGCATATAGTGATATGCCATATGCATAGGTATGTAATATAAATGTGATAGGAACTTGGTATTTACCTATGTCAATAATAATAATGCTTTGTGGATTTCTTAACTTATTGCAATAAAACACACACTGGAAAGAGAAAAAGTATTCTGGAGCATATATATTCAATTTCAGTGTTGATGTATAACCTAGCTATTACATGGACATAACAGACTCATGATATAAACTCTAGAAGTCTTAGCATGTAAAGGAATATTTCTCTTTTATCCTTTCATCCCCCAATTGGGATAAAGGCAGTAACAGCTGGAAATAGACTATGAAATTGGACTAATTGGGTGTATATACATCTTTTAATACAGACTAGGGAGAGGAGGCTGAATTGAGGTGGTCTATGCACTCTCCCAAAGAAATCCTGATGCCTTAACATAAGCAACTCACATTTAATGGTGTTTATGTTTCTGCTACCAAGATTAGGACATTATCAGGGATTATAGCATGATTTCTGTTTTATTTCTACAAAGTATACCAGTCACAAATTCCTACAATTTTAATTCCATTTTAATAATGGAAAACAGTATCTTGTAAAACAATGAATGAATGTTCTTTCATTCTTGGTCTTACGTGAATTTATGAAAATAAGATGGTATGAAAAAAAGGAAAGCAGAAGAGGATAGAAAACAAAGACATCCATAAATACCAGGAGATGACCCACTGAATAAGAATGACTTTTAACACTGTGCATCAACTGTAGTAAAAAACAACAACAAAAAAAACCAAAGTTCCAGTCTCATGAAAACAAATTCAATCTAAACATGTCGCTGTTCTTAAAAAAAAACAAAACTGACTTTTAAAAATTAGCTCATGTTGCTGTTTTTTAATAAAAAAAAGACTTAAAAATTAGCTCTGATAAGTAATCTCTAGTCTTTTAAATTTGAAGCATTTAAAGTCTAAGCTAAAGAAAGTACTGACATCAAGATTTTAATGTGTAGTATGTAAGAACATGAGCTCTCAGAAAATCCAAGGTTAGAGTCCTGGTGCTTCTGTTTATTTATAAAATGGGTATAATTAATAGAATTAATTTGTTTGTTTTAGCTATTATATTTAGTTATGACAAAACATCCTTTGGTTTCACTGTCCCCGTAATACAAAATTTATTATGAACATGGTCGTGGGATAGATTCAGACCAGGAGTTGTAACTTTATAAAGAATCACGGGAAGGAAGGTCAGAAAGAAGAGAGTACTATTAAGGATATAGAGAAAAATAAAACAGAGAAAAGAGACAGGGGTGCTGGAGTCATCAGTCCTCTTCTCTGTTATGACTGGGCTGTGTTTCCAGTATTGGTCTGTTTCTGTCTGCCTTCTGATTTTCAAGGGTTTCTCCTAATTTTTTCTAATGCTGTTACAAATATATTATTATGAAAAAGTCCTCTATCATTTTTCTTTAAAGATTTTATTTATTTATTTGACAGAGAGAGACACAGCGAGAGAGGGAACACAAGCAGGGGGAGTGGGAGAGGGAGTAGCACGCTTCCCGCCGAGCAGGGAGCCTGATGCGGGGCTCGATCCCAGGACCCTGGGATCATGACCTGAGCCGAAGGCAGACGTTTAACGACTGAGTCACCCAGGAGCCCCAGTCCTCTATCATTTTTAGGGATTTTCTAAAAAGGGGGAAAAACCTTAGTCTGTTAGTTTCCTTTTTAATCGATAAGCAATTTATATAAAATGTAATAAATTAATAATCCTTTATTTTTGTCCTGGAAATACAATATTTGATTTCAAGACCATCTCTCATTTAAGAATACTAAAGTCAAGTGGAGATCATTTTAAATATTCAACTCTATTAAATAATATACAAGTGGAAACTTTAAATGTTGATAAATAAAACAATGAGGGAAGCAAAGGAGCTCCAATTATAACCAATATAATCATAAAATATAATTGGACCTACTTTTTTTTAAACATTGAAGCAAGTATCTACAATGCTTCAAAAAAATAATATAATCTACATGGATTCTCCAGGTTGTTAGCATCTATAGGAAAAGTTATTGTAAGTACATTAATAAGTTAATTACATTTGTGGTTCATGACTAGGACTTACCAAGTTCTGCTAAGTTGCCAAATGCAACAAGACACATTTCTGTAAGAGCTGCATTTTGGCAATGGATGCCCAATAATTTCACTAAGGTAGGTATAACACCCATATTGATAAGCTGAGCTTGAAGGGAATCTGTAAAAGACAAACAAACAAAAGTGTTTATGTAACAAATGAACATTAGTAAGAAAGCACCTCTTATTCTCCCTATTGCAAACTCAATACTATTTCAATTATAGTAAATAAGATTAAGTCCATCCATACAATTGTCTGAAAAATCTTAAAACATTAGTTCACAAGAGTTTTGAATCTCTTCAACGACTAGAAGAAATTTAGGAATGAACTCAACATGTCAAAACATTAGTTTTTTTTTTTTTAAACAGGGTCGTATACCTTTGTAGAGTAGGCTTTAAAAATGTATAAATAATTAAACATTACCACTGCTAGTTATGTGAAAAGGTTAGACAAAGTAATATTTGTATTATAGGAAAGCAGAGTATACAAAAGCATAGAAAAACAAATTTAATAAAGACCAAGAGAAGACAGAATCTTAGAATCCCTTAAAAACAGCTGCTTCATAATAAAGAATGAAAAATATATATAATACACAAAAATCATTTTGATTATTTGTAGCAGAATGTTCTCCGATGACTGCTAGGAAGGAAAGTAGTTTTTACAAGGAAAAAATGTGTTACTTAAAATACTTTTCTTTTCAAAGTTTTAATAAGAGTGACAAGCATCTTAGTAAAGAAAATTTGGCTTGAGAAGTAAAGAGAATGAGATCAATATGCTTTGTCATCATTGCTTGCCTTCATTTTCTAAGAAACTAATTAGTTTTAAAGTATTTAACAGGCCTTGGATTTCCACAATGGCTCTTCATGAACAAATTATGACAGAATACCTGTAGCAAAGCTGAAGGTAAATAAACCAAATGAAAACCAAAAGTACTGCCTCTTACAAAACGTTAAGAAAGATATAAACACTCACATGCCTATGTAAAACACTATTACTATTAATAACTGTTTCATCCAAAGATACAGGAATGCTTTCAAAATTCTGTTTCTCTTGAAAATTATATGACATTTTCAAGCTAATAATTTTCTCCATATTCTTTTTAAAGTTATCTACTGGGAATCTAAAGATAAAAATTCCATTTATTACAAACACATTTTCCCTAGAGCATGCATCCCTTGACAGTTTGCTTACTAATCTCTTCATCACTCTTTCTGTTCTTAATCAATTGATAAGGAGGTGGTTGGGTGATTATCAGATAAGAACAAGAAGGCGGGTTGAGCTGCCTCACATTCCAGTTGATTATATGCCTTGTGGTCTTTGTAGTCAATTTTTCCTGCTTTTAGAATAAAGTATCAAGGGATAGCCAACCAAGGCTTATCACCCTGAAAACTGATGAGTGGGTAATTACGCATATTATCTGGTTCAATTGTGGGGGGCCTATAACCAAAACAAGAATATAGGCCTGGGAAAAAGGGAAGTTTACATTTAGAGTTCAAAGAGTCTAAAACAATTTCAAATTTTGCAATGGAATTATGAAATCTGTTCCAAAGAGACATAAATAAAAGAATATATTCAACTTATGCCTTTAATGTTAAATATTTTTTACTATACAATTCAATTGATGAATGATTCACAATATCTGTATTATCTTATAAGCAAATTACTTATATTAAAAGGTATAGTGTTATGTGTTTTATCGGCAGAATAGTTATAGTATTTGTAACAATCATGCAACAATAAGCTTTCCAAGTCAGAAATTATTTTGATTACTTACCAGTAAAGTTCCTTATTATTGGATCACCTTTGCAGATCTTTGTTCTTTAGCAGTATTTTTAAATTTCATTTATTTACTCATTTTGACTACCTCTTCAAATACTGCAGAGCTGTTGAATCATTAAGTTTCAGGTATGTAAGCGTGAGCACTAGCGCATGCATTGAGTGTGAGTCAAACTCCACTATATGTCTGCATATATGTAAGCATCACACACACCCCCTCAGTACTGTTGGCACAAACTATAAAAATCCAACAGTCCAGGGACATCAGAGGAATAACAAATTTTATGAAGGAGATAACTCAACAGGAGAATACCACTTAGAAGATGATGTTCTTCATATTCTCCTAACTTGGCATCTCTACCACTTCCTTGGACTGCTTTTAAGGTATTATGAATTTTGGTTCCAGGGAAATGAGGGACAAAAAAAATAGGAAATGTTGCATAGTTTCAAAAAATCTTTGGCATACAAATTGAAGCAGTAATATTTGAAATTGTGGTAAATCAGGAGAAAAAAGAAGTATAGCCCAATGGCATTTGGTGTGAATCACCCTAATTCATGAAAATCACTTTCCTTTGGGAAAATGTGTTTTAATGCTACCCAGGAACAAAATTAATTGTATACTCACATACAACACACATACCACACACAAGTAAAGAGAAAAATTATATAGTCATCCAATGGACATACTCATTTTTGATCACTTGGGTGCCTTCTTTTATATCCATCTCTATGAGGCTCACTAAAACAAAAATTACACTCAAATAACTCTAAAGTCTGTTCATATCAATTGCAGGTAAGTCATTCTCCTTGGATAATGAAGGCCCAGATGAGGAAAAAAACTTAAACAGACTGATACAAATTTTCATTTCAAGATAAGCAGGTATCCTAGAACATAGTTCTCAAAATGGGGTCCCCAAAACCCTTTCAGAGGATCACAAAACCAAAACTACATTCATAAAAATACCAAGATTTTATATGCCTTTTGTACTGTACTGGTATTTATACAATGGTGCAGAAACAGTGGTGGGTAAAACTGCTGGGGCTTTATTATCAATCTAGTCAGTGGCACCAAATTCTGTTGGTGGTCATCATATTCTGCCCCATCACACATTCACAGTAAAATAAATGCTATTCTTCTATGCAATTTTTTTAATTTTGCAATTTTTTTTTTAAGTAGGCTCCACACCAACATGAGGCTTAAACTCACAACTCTGAGATCAAGAGTCACATGCTCTACAGACTGAGCCAGTCAGGTGCCCCAGCAATATTTTTAATTTTGAAAAGTTATTTTTCATAAAAATACATGGTAATGTGAGTTATTATTTTAAATGCGATATTAAATAATTTTTTAAATTGTCTCCATTTTAATTTCTAATATGGTAAATATTGATAGAGATAGCCCATATTTATAAACAAAAATTCTATAGGGTCTTCTTCAATTTTTAAGTGTCTAAAAGAGTCCTGAGACCAAAAGTTTAAAAACCACTGCCAAAGGATTACCTAACTTTTATAGGAGATGGAAAACAAAACAAAACAGAACATGGAATAGAGATTCTGAAATTCAATGATGTGCTTGGCAGATGAAGTACCAGGAAAAGAAATAAAAATTAAAAGCATGGTAGGAATCCTAGATTTTGGTGTTTGGATATGTTGAGCAAAATTACATTAAGCACCTGAACATTTTATTTTGCTTATTTGAGTAGAAACTCTACTTAAGTCTAGGAGAATATTCCATGGTTCGGTCTGTTTGCCTATGTCAGTTACAACTTAGTATGTTATCAATAGGTTTTTTTTTGGAGTGGTAGGGTTAAGTAGGGGTCCTGTTTGTGTGGAATAAATTGGTATTAATTCTTATTGCTGGAAACAAATGATTAAGTTTAATCACTTTTTCTTATTGCCCAAAGAAAGCTTGTGAGTGGATTTCAAAGGATGGTAGGTGACACTCATTATGGATGGTATCAGGAGTATGACTTTTAAATCAGAGACTAACTGGAAGACATTCTTAGAACCAGATATAGTTCACATTCTCTAGAGCTGAAAAAGTGAAACAGTGCAGGACTGAGAATTTTTGCATCCTTCAGTGAATACCAGCAACTCCAGGGGAATGTTCATCAGAGCTCAACAAACACAATTCACAAAATGCAACCCAGGCCTGTACACAGCAAACACTTATGTGTGAAAGACAGTCTTTAGACAACACAATGTCATAAATGTCTGAAGACTCTTAAAGATTGCTCCTGACACACATCACAGACAAATACTGACCAAAATACAGAATTACAAAATATCAAGATGACACAGGCCCTACATGATCTATGGGGAGGAAGAGGAAGAAAGGCACTGAGGGGGTGCAATACAGATGCATATACAAAGAGATATAAGGCAATCAACGCATGCGCTGGTGTGAACACTTACCTACCTACATTTGAATTTCAATGGTTCCAAGTTCTTCAGGTCACACTCATGGAAACTCCAAAGAATGGAGATCTGGAGAGAAGATCTTAAGTTGAAGAACCTTTGTCCCCCTGAGTTTTAAGTTTAATGTTTAAAACATTGGTATAGATTATAGGTCCAGAAAAGAATTCCAGTAACTCAACTGAAGTTATGTTGATCAATTACTATAAAGAATAAGTTTCTTAAGAAGACTGCAACACATGTTTACCTTATTCATAAGAAAAGGCCCTTATAGACAGTATTATAAGATTATTAAGCTTAACAGTAAATAGGACTTAATGATGAAACTGTGTCAAAAAAAAGATATATACAATTCAAAATACATAGCCTCTACATTAGTATGTATATAGAGTATGTATACTATTCATACTATAAGGAGTACAATATTCCTATTTACAGGCTTGCATAAAAAACCATCTACAATCAAGTGAATTACATACAGTTGAGACAATAAACACTAGCAAATATAAATCTTGATGAATTGTAATACAAATTAGATAAAAGCCATTTGGGCATAATAAAGATTGAAGAAAATTGCCCTGACTAATGGCATATATATATTTCCAAAAAAGGACACAAAAATTAAAAATGATGTAAAACAGTGAACAGAAATGTTAAGTTTAAACAAGTTGTAGTGGATTAAATAGTGAAAAGTAAACTGACTTTACAGCTGCCAAGAGGATGATTCGTAGTTAAAAACTTTATACATCCACATGTGCATGTACAGTTTTCAGTTACTTATTACTTAATATCTTTTTATTTGGTCAGAAAAGTGGAGAACTTTTATCTAAACCTGTATTGAGCATATAAAAGTAAAAATATTTACATGTGTTTAAAATTAACTTTAAATCAATTATTTTAAAAGCCCTCTTTAAACAAAACATGCATTA